ATCCTGCCCATGCAATACTATGAATCTCACTTCAAACAAATTTCTGATGCTCTGGCCACCGCAGAGGATAATCAACGGTGCCCTAACTGCTGCGTCGAGCAGGGTGGATAGGGGTTTGGATGATACTTCTCAAGACTTCTGTCTCGTTATTGGCCTCTTACGCTTTTTCACTCTTACCGTCCAGTTCCAACTTCACTTTTAACCTCCAGTTTTCACCCCCCATTCTTGGCCATCCCCCAACATGCTTTGCTAGGCATTTATCTTCTAATTTCAACTCACATGTGAACGCGGAGCGTCACTCATCTCCTGTCGACAATCCCATGTCCAATCAAGCGGTCCATTCCAGTTCATCAGATTGCATTTGGAGCCCTCGATCCTCCTTCAGATTAGCATGCCTCAATGTACGCACATTACTACAGATCGGTCAACAGGCAGCACTTGCCCGAACATTGGAGACCCTCTCGATCGATATCTGTTGCTTATCAGATGCCCGCCTGCAAGACTCGAGCTCTGTGCTCACTCTGCGATTCCTTTCAGGTGACGCAAGCAGTATTTTCTCCGTGCACCTATCCCATGACGATGCAGTTTCGAACACCGGCGAAGATAGTGTTGGCATTGCCCTGAGTCCCCGGGCTGAAGCTGCTCTGGTTGATTGGATTCCAATCAGTAGCCGGATGTGTGCGGTCCGATTGGCTAGCCCGTTTAAAGCTTCGAAGTCGCGCGGGACTAATAGGTGTCTATTCCTCATCGCTTCCTATGCACCCACAAACAGTAGCGATGATTCGGTAAAATACTACTTCTACAGCCAACTGACCCAGGTCCTTCGCCATAGAATAAGCACGGACAATGTTGTGTTGGCTGGGTATTTGAACGCGCAAATTGGAAAGTTGTCCAATGCTGCACTGCATTTGGGCGGTCAGCAAGGTGTAGGCTCCCATAATGATAACAGTGAGCGGTTATTTCATTTGTGTGAAGATGCTCACGTATTTCTTACGAGCACTAACTTTCGACACAGCACCCGCCGGAGGGTGACTTGGCGCCCACCAGCCTCGAATCAGACTTGGACGCAAGTCAATCACATTGCGATACCGCTGGATAGGCTGCGTCCAGAACTGTCGCTCGATTTGGAGCACATGTGTGGACACCGACCATGCACTTGTATGTGCTGACATGCAGATGCCTTTTGGCGGAGCCCCACGACGACTGTGGGAGCGCATTGACACCAGCCAACTGACAAAGCCAGCTGTTCTGAATGCCTATCAAATTACGCTGTCATGCGAGTTGAGTAAGCGCTCACTGGAGACAATTGATGGTCACTGGTCACATGTTCACCAGACCTTAATAGCAGCAGGCAACTCCTCATGTGGTAAGTCTAATAGCCAACGTGGTTATTGGGTCTCTTCGCAGTCTCTAGAACTTATCGATGCTCGCCGGCATATCCCGTCTTGAAGCAAACACAATGAAACTCGCAAAGAGCTTCGGGCAAGACTTCGTGCTAGCCTGAAGAGAAACCGCGAATGCTGGTGGTCTCATCGTGCGTCAGAGATGGAAGTGGCCGCTGCCCTTGGCAACCATCATCTGATCCGGGAAACGGGCAACAGGAGACCTGGTGTTAGTGAAAAATTTGTGACGAGAGTGGACAGCCTATCCACAATATGTCAAAACGTGTGGAGCGTTGGGCTGAGAATTTTGAAAAACAATTTAATCGGCTAGAATTTTTCGATTCTTCGCGACATTACTCTCGCTTTGAGGGGTAGACTGTACAACGCAGCGGTACGTTCGACCTTACTGTACAGTTACGAAACCTGGCCTCTAAGATCGGCGGATTTGAAGAGGCTAGTTACGTTCGACCATCGGTGCCTTCGCAGTTTGGCTAACAACTGGTGGGAACACCGCGTGAGTAACCAGCGTGTTCGACGCCTTGTTTACGGCACAGGAAAAGGAACTGAACCGCTCAGCACCGTCATTTCACACACCAGGCTCCGATGGCTCAGCCACGTGCTGCGCATGCCAGCCCATCGACTCCCGCTACGTACGTTGTTTGCTCACCAGGGATGTGGATGGAAGAAGAGGAGGGGTAGCCAAGCGATGACTTGGTCAAGATGAATGAAGGCCATCACTTCTGTGCTGGCCTCGGTTGAAGCGTCACGGCTCCCTGGTTGGGGTCCAAAAGACGGTGAACACGTTTGGCTGGATATATTTGCTGACATGGCAAGAAGCCGACCTCAGTGGCGTTCCTGCTGTGAGTTTCTTTGTCTCTCACCATCCTTTTTAGCCTCCCCCTCCACCTACGATCTCATTTCTTATGCGTAAAACATAATAATTATTCTTGTCCTTAGTAGCCGGCTGGTAGCTTACCGGAACGATGCCTATCCGTTGCTGGTAGCTCAGCCGGCATGCAACTTTTGTATTTATTTTCCTTTTTCATTTATGTATTGCGGCACAGTAGTTGGGGTGTTGCTCACTTCCAGCTGACGTGTATAATGATGAATGATGAATTAGAGTTCAAGATGGAAACTTCAGCACACGATAGCCGACTGCTGGCAAAGCTCCCGCAGTACACCTGTGCCGAAAAAAGTAACCTGTAAGTACCGACCAATTGTTTGTACTTTTGTGGCTTTGAAGACATTAGAACGAATCATGCTTGATAGAATGCTTGTTCAAACCCCCCACGAATTAGCCATTGCAGTTCGCCTATCGCAGTTCAAGATCTGCTTTGGATGCACTTGCCTCTCTTGTGCATTCCATGCTTTCATCAATCGAGAGAAAGAAGAAACCCACGCGGATCTGATTCCTACATTCAGTAACGCTTTCGGTTGCGCACACCGAGAGATGCCGTTACACGATCTGTTATTTTCCGGAGTTCAACCTTCATAAGTATCTTTTCTTAGGACTATTTTGTCAAACCTATGCATTTTACCAAGCTTGGGGTGGGTACAAGCCCTTCCTCACTTACGGCAAATTCAGGTGTTCTTCAGGGAGCTATTTTGCCCACGTTCCTATTTTCTACCTACATTAACTCCCTTCCCGCTCTTAAAGAAACCATCCTACTAAAGTATGCGGATGACGTGATCCACGCTGTACACAATAACACCACAGATTCATCGGCCAACTTGCAATACTTCTTGGGCAACCTCACTTCCTGGTTCAAATATCGCCGTCTTTTGCCCAAGGCATCAAAGAGTAAAGATGTCTTCTCGTCAGTCAAGGAAAACTGTTATCAACAGCTCCTGACGCACACCTCGCATCTTAGTATTGACAGTGTCAGTCTAAACTCCTGTACAGTAGTGAAATATCTCGGAGTTACACTAAGCCGGGATCTCACGTGGTCGCATCACGTGAATGAAATTTTCACTAAACTCAGGAGACTAACGTTCTACGTCTCCTGACTTAGGTCATTATCCGTGCCCCATTACGTAATTCCACGGTTTGCCACCACTTGCGAAATACCACACTGGAAGTATTGCTCACCTGTGGTATTTCCCCACTCTTAAACGGGTAATTCAAAGCAAACACCAGGTCGCTGCAGCATCTTGCTCGAAGTAGCGGAATTTCTATGCTAGTGTTTATTAACATCGTTGTGTTCAATCATGTTCTCTTCTGCGAAAAGCTGACATCCAAAATACTCACTGAGGCCAGTCACCCTCTCCATTTTGCATTGTCGGAATGTAGCTCAAATTCTTCGACCAGAAAAACGTACAAAATCATTTATACCCACACAAGAGCTTACGGTACGTCAGTTGTTCTCTATTTGTCACGTTTTCTGAGGGATCAAGATGTAATCAAACAAGATATTATTGCCACATTGAATCGATGAGGTCGCCAACGCCAATTTTTAAACTGGTGGCCCACCATAAATATTGGTCATATTTTTATTTGATTCTATGTGTGCTTTTATCGTGTGTGTTATATCTGAATATGCCCTCTTCATGGGTACCCAATGCGCATTATTGACTTGAATTGCTTTGAAACTTGCAGATTGCCGGCAGGTGCTTTTGCAAATAGATTAAACAGCCCAGGTCCTAGTGGCTGAACTGATTCTTATTCATTTCAAAACAAATCTCTATCTTTACTGACATTGAATGCCGACATCCTTGGATGTCCCATGGGTGCAAGGAAGGAACTAGCAATGGTGTATCTTTACTCCATCATACGTATTAGTTCGCTCAAACTGTTCATCATTAGTTGGGAACTGACCATGGAGTCTCGCAAATTGGAGCCGGCCACAAAGTCTGAATAGTGACGCAGAGTACGCACCGTGTTAGCTACCTCCTTGACGAGTTTGGTCATTAGAATTCGCTTTCGTTCAGATCCAAGGAACATCCTTCTTAAAGGTCAGGATGCTTTTTCCATCCCCCATGGCTGACAGATGAGAGAACTCTACAAGTCTAAAAGTGTGGAAAGGAATCGATGAATGCCTGCTGCTTTGCAGGTGGGTCGATCATCATCCAAAGCAGTTTAGCTGTCATAATGTTCAGGTACACTATATGAACCAATATCAATTGGATCAAATTCTTTTCTGCCCCCCTAAAAATCCACAGTGGCGAATGTAACCTGTGTGTCGACTAGTCGAATACTAGCAAATGTGGGATGTGACTTCAGATACCATGAGATAGGAGATTAAAAGCTGGGTCATAAATAAGTACATCACCTTATCGCAAAAAGGATTTCAGCCTGCCCAAACTCCAAAGTGCTACTATAGAGTGAGAATGGAGGATACATGAATCCCGATCTATTTAGTTAGTATGTTCGCAGATGCGATACTAGTTTATTCTGCCCAAGTCGATTTCAATCCACTAACAACTCAAGAAACAGAATCATTACATACACCACCAATCAGTACAAGTCATGGTGGCTGCACCACATTTCTAGCATGAAATGGCGCAAATGAGGAAGTGCATAAGTATTAGTGGTGATTCTTTTAGTAGCTCCCCAAACTATGAAGACTGATGATTGGTCCCCAGCTTGGTACAGTAAAGCCTACTAAATTTGTGGCTTACTCTACTGCTTTGAGAAACGCTTCCTCTGCTGCAGCAAAGAAACTCGCATCCAAGGTTTTTCCCGCAGCAATAAATAGTTCACTATCGTGGTCCAATCTTCTGATGGGATCCAACTCAGTCAATTCTGTAGTGTGTGCTTTCCTTGAAGAAGCCAGGGCAGCAGTACGCTTCTGTTCGCGATGCTGTTTTGCCAACCCCATTATAGCAAGTCCACGTGAATCGAGCAATCGCGCAATCCAATAGTCAAATCTGGTACGAACTCCTTTATGGTATTCTTCTTCCACTTTTGCGTATTCTGAGATCTCCAGGGCTGCAGTGTATTGCTCAGTAGCAACAGCAATCTGGGACAGCATATTCCAGTGTTGCAACTCAACTAGGCGGTCATCTTGCGTGGGAGTAGGTTGCAAACTCCCATATTCCTGATTTACTTGGGAAATATCTTCAGGCTCTGTTGTGCAGAAGGCAGCTTTCATCAGACCCACGGCCTGTAGAAAAGAAAATTAAATAGCAAGAGTGTAGGCAAGAAGAAATCAGGTATCTGTAAGCGCAACTATAGAGACATCAGCCGCCGAACCATTAAAGTAAGTAATGTGATATTGAACGGACAGTGTTAACCAGCTTTCACAAATAATCTAAACGGCAAAAACACGAAGTTACCACACTGGCGACACAATAAGAATGGACGGTTGCTCTCAACTGTTAAACAGGTTGAAGTTCGATATTCGCGAGGCTCTTTAAGATTCAGTTGTTATCCGGGAGTCATGTGATGTTTTCTGGCAGGCTAACTTATCTTGGTCGCAACGATGTATTTGACTGGCAAATAAAAAACTGAATGGTTTCCATTTTAATGGCTGATTCTGAAGCTCACCTCAGAAATACTTGGTGCATCTCTAAACCCTGCTGGTTCAGGCCCGGACTGCTCTACCATGAAAATTGGAACTGCGCTAACAGGTTGGGAACCATTGGACAAACTCGTCATCGTATTATTCCAAGCGCTCAGAATGGAGGTACGATTCGAAATCCACATAGCTTGAGTTGCCAACAAGGCCCGAACAACTGAACTGTAGCTGTATACTGTCTTTACGTCTGCAACTTGCTCTTTGTCGGGCGATATGGTCACGTTTTGTCTCTCTTCCACGAGAGGTTCAACTGTTGCATCACCAGGAAAGATGCCACGGTAGGTTGACGCATCAGGATTAAGTTGTCGAGTTCTAAGCCAAATGTGGATCAACCTAAACAATGCGTCAAGTGATAGTCGCTCAGGAGGCTTTCGCATCACATGAAATTCAGATTGGGGCTGTACCGTCAAAGGATAACATTGGCCGGAAGCAATCTCCACTTGTCGCGCTGTCTTCAGCAATAATTCGGCCGCATTCTTTACTGCCAGTTGTCCTTCAGCGGGGACCTGTGGGTATGTGAATAAAAAGTGTGGGATACCTAAAGCGAACTTGCAGAAATGCTACGATTTGTTCTTAGTAAAATGTATGACACCGATAATAAGCTTGATCTTTTCGATGCAACCGTTTCGCGAACTCAATTATAAAATCAAAGAACACATATAATGTGATGATAATTGGATATGGCGAATAGCATTTATTAAATACTGGTAAATACACAAAGCACTATACCAACCTAATGCGACATATTGTATGATCGTATGTAAATGGGGAATCTGCTATAAAGCCATAGTTCAAAAATATAGTCCGGTATCTACCGGGTACAAGCCGTGATAGTCTGCTTGGTTGGTTGAACAAAGATATGCAGTAAATCTGATAGTACTAATGTAATATTCCTCAAGCCTGGAGTTCCAAGCTCTTCCGTGTCCAACTGGTACAGCGAATCGTAATGGACACTTAGAGCTGCAGCAAAAATAATTACCTCGTAAAGGACTGGATAATAATATCACAATCGCATAGGAAGAGGCCGATCTAATGAAGGCAAGGAAGCAAGCACAGAAGCGAGAAGGAAAAATTGCCGGGGAAGAAAAACCATTAAGGCTACAAGCAGCTAGCACTCATGGACCGCTTATCTTTTGACATGTTACCGTGGCGCCCACGGACCGACTACACCAACATAAGTAGTCCAAGTAAAATCAGTGGTTTATTTGCACAACAGGATACCGTCTGGCACTGGCCACTCAGTAGACCGACCAGCTAAGAGAAATACTCCATAAGTGCTTTTAGCCAAAGACGAGTAAACTGTTATTAATTCCAGTACACAATGAAATGCTTGCTGCTGCCTTTCCAACGGCGCCAGGTACAGCGCAGCACAGAATTCACAACTGGCTCTCGTCTCATAGCTTGTCATTACAGTTAAGCGTATTGTTCTTTCTGAAGCAGTTTCTGCCTTGCGCGTGAGTAGGTGGTTCGATATTTCACGAGTTTTGTCAGAGTATAGAGTAGATAATTTGGGGAGCTAGACATCGTTTTCTAGCTAACAGTCAGAATCCTCATTCTCTTACTCAGTTAATCTCTGATAAGGTCGGTGCTAAGCGTACATTTACTGGTTACTGCTTAGTAAATACATATCGTTAGAGTCCTAGTTTATGGAGTGAATAAAATCGTTACTTCCGAGGAATTTCACTGGTTTTTGCGTGCACCAGATCCTGACGGCACATCTGTGAGGTCGGTGCAATGGCTTGAAGCCACTGAATTTTTTGGGATTTTCACAGGTGCTGACGTTAACTACTAATAATATTGAAGCCCGCTATGCTCGAAAGGATCTCCTTTACGTCTAAACCAGTTTGGATACCTAATGGATGCTTATGGAAGAAAACTAGAAAACAGCTAATTCTATACATATTTATAAAGGACTTAACCTGATATTCACTATCAGCTTCTTCGCCATTCGTAGGCACTCTGCTTGCGTAAGTTTCCCGAAGTTTAAGACAACAATACTGTTAACGGAAAGCGCAATCACTGTATTCCTTCGTATTACTTTGCTAACCTACCTTCTAAGTCACATTCATGCGGCTTTTGGCTGGCCACATTTACATTGCAGATGTACGCATTTGTGGCAGCTGAAGCCGTTCCGTAGCGTCTCTTTAAGCCAAGTGAGTTCTTGATACGGGTGTTTGTTGCATCGCAAATGGTTGAATATGTGGTCTACTTTTGGTCTAGTCCTTATGAGTCCGGAAGATATGCATGAAGCATGTCTCCAAGCGCTTTGCTGTTTACAGAACCCAAAAGAAACGCTTTCAGTGTTTGATAATATGACCACACAGTTTACTTAATGTGAACTCTGCATCAATTTGTACACTTGGTTTGAATTATACACAATTTTATACTGATCTTCTCCAGAAGGTAATTTGACGGCATTCATAAAGCCAATCAGCTGGTAGGGCATGCTCATTACGATTACCATCAATTAGTATTAGATTTCTACAAACTTGTGGCTAATACCGTGAAGTACTTAACATTCGAGTTAGGGAATACACCTTAAAATAGCTAGCACGTTCACCTTTAAACTCATCTTATTCCTGCAGTACAGTTAGTTCTAGAAGTCTGGTCTACGTTTACACTGTTATTCGGGGACCAATGGTCACGCCTTCGGGTGAGAGGAGAGCGCACCAAATTACCAACTCTCCAATGGTATATATTGGTCTATCACAAAATGTCTTTCACCCGGTCACATGAGTGTGTACGACCGGAGTGATGGCCGTAGACAAGTGCACCTGGGTACAGGTGTACCCAGAGTAAAAAGAGGTTCAACAACTAGAGGTTCAACTAGAGGTTCAAAGCTAGAGACCGAGCAGACCAAGGTTTTCGACATCTGCGAGCGATCCACCGGTGACCGAACACTTCGTTAAGCTACTCTCACCGTTTGTGCATAGTGGGCAGGAGCACCATATTGAAGCTATAACGGCTGAAGCAAAGTGCGGAAATCGCCAACGAGAATCCGTGGTGAAATCATCTCTATCTTGTAACTCCAACGTTACTCGTTAGCGACAGTTCACATAAATAAATACATAAATAAAATGTTTATTCTCGACTCGGTGAGACACGCCTGCACAGGCATGATCATATTGAGGATACAAAAGGTGATCCGTTAATGGACAATGGAACAATGGGATTGTCGCAACTTGTAATATATGTATGTCGCTTACGCTAACTGCGCTTATCTTCGGTAATTTTGTTGCGTTTGTAGCATTTTTGAGTAACTTGTGGACATTTCTTACTTATCGTGGACTCGTTGCTAACCAACTTACTTCATATGGTAACTTAGCGAAGAGTTATGCCACCGTATCTATATGCATTATTGGATTTATTTTATTTTATTTGGTCGTTTCAAGTGAATGGCTGTTGCGTGATATCCCCGGTGTAACTGCGCTTGATGTGCATGTTGACAAGGTGCCTACCTGTCTATTACCCACTACCTCGTCCATACTGGCTCCAGGAGACAGTTGGTCGTTGCTGGAGGGGACGGGGTGTACGGTCCTTGTGGCCGTGCTAAGCTCGAAGAGTGGTTCCATGCACTCAGTGTGGAGCGGACTACGGTCCAGCCACTGCCTTGTGTGCGCTTGATTCCCCAAATACAGTGTGCTTGTGTTTGCCTGTGAAGGAGTGTGGGCCGGCTCCGTTGATGAAACGTGGCTCCCATCCACATGCCTCCTGGTCTTATTCCTTCGGGTTTACACTGGATTTGGGGTGTGTGGTTGGAGCTGTCAGTGGTGCAGCGCAAGCCATCCATGGTTCCTCTGTAGGCGCAGGCGTCCTGTGGCTTGCCACAGTGACAGGCAAATCCGAAACCGGATGCCGCCAACCATGATGGCGTGTTTAGCCGTCGTGATGGCATTTGTAAATGTTTCCGGCCCTTTAGCTCGTGCTTGAAAGAGCCGCCAGTGCAAACTTGATATTGATGTAGGTGGGCTTAAAGCGGTTGTCCGAATAAGCAATGGGTTGACTTTAGTTGGTGACCAGTCACAACCTCCAGGTCACAGTGTTTCAGATTATATATATATATATATATATCGGGAAAAAGTTTGCCAAAATCCACCGCGTAATAGAACACTGCTGTCAATCTGTTTGCAGGTATTGGGTAAATTCAAGACAGAGAGATGACACAACGATGAGGTTGTTCGGATAGCGGGATAAGTGAGAACCATGATTGACAGAGGAATGGCGGTAATCATAATTGAGTTACTTTGTAAACACGTGCTTAACGTCATATCTGAAAGGAAAGTACGTGACCCTGCCTTGCAAGAAGCACCTTATGCAGCCTACTGAGCTTTAGCGGTTTCGTCCACCGACGTCAACTTTACAGTAAACGTCAACAGCGACGCCTGCATCCTGTCGCACAATTGAGCGATCGCGCGTTTCTCACGTACCCGTCTTATTCTATTTTCTAATGGTGTTTATACTGTCACGACGAAGAATTAGCACCATTAGACATCGCAACATGTGGTAGTAAAATTAGTCGCATGGTCGATTGTAGAATATGCTAACCAATAGCAGCCGGCGAGCATTGCTTTGAGAACAAAACTGCGACCGTCATTTTGAACATCCAATTGTTGAATTTTCTGACGTGTAACATGATTTAGGAACCAAACGAACGCTTCACCATTTGATAACAGCCTCCTACGAAGAAATGTTATAGAGCAGTGTGACTGCGCAACCGCAGGCCGAAGGAACTAAAACTAACCATCGTAAAGGATGTATCAGAATGTTCGTAGACATTTTGCAGCAATTGCTAACCGAAAGCATAGGGCGAACATTGCTCCGCAACCAGACCGACGGTGGTACTGTGAACATATATTTCGTTAAAATATTTTGCTTTGTAAACACACACTCCAGGGAAACACGTGTATGACGTATAACGATTGATTTCACTACTACATGTTGCGATGTTTAATGTTACCCATACTTCGACGCGACGGAATGAAGACCGAGAAAATAGAATTAGACGCGCGATCGCTCGACTATCCAACAGGTTGCAATTGTTGCAGTTAAGGTTTGCTGTAAATTTGACGTCGGTGGACGAAACCGCTAAAAATCTGTTGGCTGCTTAAGACGTTTCTTGTAAGTCAGGGTCACGTACTTCTGTTGCACAAATGACGTTAAGCACGCGTTTGCAAACTAACTCAATTATGGCTGAGAGCATTTATCTGTAAATCATGCTTCTCACATGGTAAGTGAGCAGTCGCTCTCAAGTAACATAGGAGCTGCGAGATAGAGATCTTTCCACCACCGATTCTCGTTGCGGTTTCGGCACTTCGTTTCAGCAGTTGTAGGTTCAATGTAGAGCACTTGCCTATTATGTACAAACGGTGGAGGTTTATCTTAACGTGTTCGGTCACCGGTGGTTTGATCGCGGAGGTTCAAAGAATTGGTCTGCCCGGTCACCAGGTTTGAACACTTCCATTTATGCCTATGGGATTATTTGACAAGAAAAGTTTACAAAACTACGCCTTTTTCATTGGAGCAATTGACAGGCAGTATTGACAACGAATCTCGCACTATCAACACGGAAAATTTGCATAAAGCTATAGCATATTGCCTCAGGCGATCTCCGGACTGCAAGCAGAACGCCGGCGGGTATGTTGAACATCGTTTCGTTGGCGGACATATCATCTTTGTTTGCCGTTTATGTAAATATATGTATTCACCGTTATCCCAGATTTCTGAACTAAATTGGTGCACGGGTAAATGGTGCCAAACGCGCGTCGGGCCTGAATGCATTCAACGAGCGAAGCTGATTCAACAGCGCTTAGACTGACCACGTCTATGCAACTTGGTTCACAATGCCTAAGGAATACGGGGAGGATGTGAATGAAATGGTGATGTGAGAATAGGCTACGCTGGTAAGTATGTTTACCGTGTTCATCAGTGTACAGACTCCGGCGTGAGATGAGTGCTTCCAACTAATAACATGCCGGTCACATAAAGGGGAAAGGAAGATGGTCCAACGATTGTTCTATAATAATACAGACCGTGAAGGCGTAGCATATCGATCTTTTTGAATTTGATAATCGGAGTTTGCAGTAACATGTGTAAGCAAAGTTACCACAGGGATAACTGAATTGTGGCCGATAGTATGCGTGGGAACCCACATGTGTGTGCTGTGGTCCTATGATTGGTCAATCACTTTTGTGAGCCAATGAGCTTCGCGCTTTGTGGAATATGTTAACCTCAGTAGCCGGGTGGATTAGCTATTGCAAGAAATGCAACTTCTTAGTTCCATGCTAATGGAATTTTGCCTCATCAGTGAATAGTTTGGAAAGAACGCTCAAGGATGTGAAGGGAGAATAGGCTATGCGGCATCGAATAGTCTTTGGGCGATATAGCTTTATGAGATCCCTTTATCAAACGGTGCATTTCATATGTGCAAGGCCTAATTGTAAGGACTTCCTATTTTGCTATGCTGGGTTGTTGGAAGCAAACTTTCAGTCTACAACAGCGTTGCCAATCACACGTTTGCCATTAGCCGGTATAACATTAAGCACCTTTGGACACTCCTTTCTCAGGTCAGGTAAGCCTGTCGAAACGCCACCATAATCTTACCGGTAATGATGCATTGCTGTCTTTATTTTTCACGCCTGCATTCGTTCCAGCCAGCTCGAAATACGGTAGGTGTCGATCGGTGAGATTGCCTTTTGGCACTCCACAGTTGACATCAACTCAACCAACCTGAGTTTACCGGTACGCAGGTGCACTTGCCTACGGACATCACTCCGGTCGTTCACACCCATGTGACCGGGTGAGAGACATTTTGAGATAGACCGACATCAACCATTGAACAGTTGACGATTTAGCGCGCTATCCTCTCATCCGAATGCGTGACCATTGGTCCCCGAGTAACAGAGTAAAATATTGAACTCTGAATACCGGGAAATGGATGGGGTCTGAACGCTCCGTGTATTGCGGATTGTCGCTTAGTTTACTTATCGGCTGTCTACTAAAACGAATAAAATTTAGGTCGCCTTTTCCTCTTTTACATGTTCTTCTTTGCGACAATCCAAAGCGATCGACATTGTGATACTGCCTCCTCCAAACTTAATGTCTTCAACTTATTATATTCCCTACCATTTATTGCTTTTAACAGTTGCTGAATAGCCTACACTTATGCATCTGTTTATCAGTGCCACGGAACTCCCCGCTAGCTGGCAGCTTGATACACAGACTGCTCTTACTCATAGTTGAACCAAGGGAACAACCAGCGCTCCGTCGACAAGTATGCAGCAAACACTATTGCTGTCTTCGCTGTTGTACTTAGTTGCTAATGTCGTACTGTACCATAAAAGGGAAATAGGTTACGCACTCCACCACTCATCTCAGCGTCTGCGCCGCTGTGGTGTTATTGTTTTCAGAGAATTGCCATTTCGTTAGAGCAGCTAAGTAACAAGGAAGTGGAATGAAACTCGAAATCAAAGATAAAATATTTATGCGGTTTGAGATCAAACAGACACATGACGAACTTACCATAAACTTTGATCTTTTTCCAGCTCCAATGCGAGGAACTTTAACAACTTTGGTGGTTTTAGTTTCAGAAACTCCGGGTTTTTTGGATGTGGACTGCAATACCGACTTCAAGTGGCCATCAGGTAACCAAGGTTGAATTAGGCCATTGGCAGTAACCACAGTAAGCTCAACGCGCACGGCGATTGGTAAGGCGGTGTAGCCTAAGTTTTCGTCACATTCTAATGCATTCTGTAGACAAAAATGTACTGTGCTTAGTCAGAAAAGACGATTCAGCAAAGCGAAAATTTAAAATAAACTTTTGTAGGAGGAACACAATAGTCCAGATAGATATACATATATTTACATGGTTATGAATGTGTACCAAGACAGTAGCTGTATCATATCTGGCCAACAGATACATATACCTGATTGTGACCGAAAGGAAAATAACGTAGCTTTTTAAGTACATAATTAACTTTCTTGTATTTTTCACTAAAGGCATCTGAACAATTATGATCAATTTCCTATGAGAAGTCTCGATGCACTGGTCACCAAATTATTGGTTGCATCTAAAGTATGGCCAATGAGAATTTATTAGCAAGGGGAACATCAAACGTCTAAATAATGGTGCCATTATGCTGGCTTTCAGATTAGATAAGCTAATCAATTTTGTTTTGCTTAGTACACAGTCCTTCGATTCTTTGGGTTTGATTTGGCTAGCCATTTAATTCGGTTGAGACTATGTGGCTTAGAAGACGATGCTTCCGTTGAAACCACACAGGTCAAAGTCCTGCTGTTACTAGCTAAGTTGTGTGAATACGTACGAAACGGCTGGTGCATTGTGTTACTGCGAGTCGGTACCGCCTGATATCCATAACTACATTCCAAACTGCAAAATGTGTCACCGTCCTGACTGAGACTGCGAGTCGCAGTCTCTTCCCATAACAATCGCTCCGAAATTTACCCTGCAGTCAGTCATTAAGTATTGGCGCGGATTAAAAACTTACAGACGAAAACGGGTAGGCCGCGAACGCTGGGGAGGAGCGAAACTAACGAGGACAACAGGGAGGAAAGTCGGTGAAGCAGATCGAGTCATAAGGAGTAAGCCTGGAATGGTTCATGAGGGACAAAGATTTGCAGGCCCAAGCCGAGAAGCGTAGGGGACTTGTTGGTGGAGAGCCCGATTTTCCGGAGAGATACTCCTTCGGACTCGCCTCCAGGAATAAACTTCTCTGTAAATCATGGTTCTCACATGCTAACTGAGCAGTCGCTCTCAAGAAATATAGGAGCTACAAGATAGAGAAATTTTACAGCCGATTCTCGTTAGCGCTTTCGGCACTTCGCTTCAGCCGTTGTGGATTCAATGTAGCGCATCTGTCTATTATGCACAAACGGTGAGGGATCATCATATCGTGGTGCTCGGTCACCGGTGGGTCGGTCGCTGTGGTCCAAAGGATTGCGCTTCCCGGTCACCAGATTTGAACTCTTACATTTATTCCTATGGAATTATTTGACAAGAAGGGTTTACAAGACTACGCCTATTTCATTGGAGCAATTGACAGGCAGTATTGACAACGAATCTCGCACTATCAACACGGAAAATTTGCGTAAATCTATAGCCTATTGCCTCAAGCGAACTCTGCACTTCAAGCAGAACGCCGGAGGACATGTTGGGCATCGTTTTCGTTGACAGACATATCACAGTGTTATGCCGTTTATATTAATATACGTATTCACGGTTACCCCTGATTTCTAGACTAAATTGGTGCACGGGTAAATGGTGCCAATATAGTGTCGAGCCTGAATGCATTCAACGAGCGAAGCTGACTCAACAGCGCTTAGACTGACCACTTCTATGCAACTTGGTTCACAATATCAGTGCTTGTATTTCATGCATATATCTAAAGAATACGGGAAGGATGTGAAGGAGATGATGATGTGAGATTAGACTACGCGGGTTCGTAATTTTACCATGTTCATCGGTGTACACACACCGGCGTAGCATGAGTGCTGCTAACCAATAACATGCCGGTCACATAAAGGGGAACGGAAGCTGGTCCAACGATTTTTCCATAAGAATACAGACCGTGAAGGCGTAGCGTTTCGATCCTTTTGTATTTGATAATCGGAGTTTGCGGCAACATGTGTAAGCAAAGTTACCACAGGGATAACTGACTTGTGGCTGATAGTATGCGTGGGAACCCACATGTGTGTGCTGTGGTCCTACGATTGGTCAATCAGTTTTGCGAGCCAATGAGTTTCGCGCATTGTGGTTTATGTAAACCTCAGTATCGGCGAGAATCAGTTATGCGGCTTTTTAGTTCCATGCCAATGGAATATTTCCTCATCAGTGAATATGTTGGAATGAACGCTCAATACTGTGACGTTAGAATATGCTATGCGGCAGCGAGTAGTCTTTGGGCGGCATAGACTTTTGAAACCCCTTTATCAAAACGGTGCATTTCATATGTGCAAAGCCTAATTGTAAGTAATTCCTATGTTGCTATGGTGGGTTGTTGGAAGCTAACTTTCAGTCTACAACAGCGTTATCAATCACCCTTTTACCGGTAGCTGACATGACAATAAGCACCTCTGGACACTCCTTGCTCAAGTGGTGTTTCGACAGACTCAACTCTGTCGAAAGACCACCACAATTTTACCGCATTAGCCCAGTAATGATCTACCGCTGTCTTGATTTTGCACGCCTGCATTCGTTCCAGCCAGGGCAAAATAAGGTAGGTGTCGATCGGTGAACTTGCCTTTTTGTGCACCGTTGTTGACTTCAACTCAACCACACTGCTTTCACCTGTTCCCGAGTGCACTTGCCTACGGTCATCACTCCGGTCGTTCACACCCATGTGACCGAGTGAAAAACATTTTGAGATAGACAAACATTTACTATGGGACAGCTGGCAATTTAGTGCGCTCTCTTCTCACCCGAATGCGTGACCCTTGGTCCCCAAGTAACATAGAAAGTAGAGTCAGGACTTATGACACTAACTGTAGTCATGCGAGGGCCCACCTCACCATGGTCTGTCTTATTTTGCATCTCGGCGACTTCTCCATAGTGATGCATCTCCTTCAATTGCGAACGTTGTGGTAACCACGCTGACATCGGTATAAGCATTCTCTTCCAGTTTCGAGTCGAGTTCTTCATCCCCTCTGCTTTAGGCGGAGTGTTTTCAATGCTTGGAACCATCTGCTAGTACAATACGTGTAGAGTTTATCTGTGCAACATTTCAATACTTCGTGGGTTTTATCTTTTAACTTTCTACGATTCCAAGGACGATTGCACGCTGAAAAATACATCCCGAATTTTTAAGTTTATATATTAAAACATTTTAACTTTTCCTTTCATCTTGATGTACAAATAGAGATATAACAGGTGCAATATAGCTTTTGTAACAATTTGCTCCCATTTCGATGCCGCTGTGGGGATCAAACTTTCACATGCTCCCTCACTTCAGCATTAACCATTCAGTGCATCGTCTGTAAGGGAAGAGCAGTGTTATAATAAAATCCTAAGCAACTCGGGGTCACAAGTATACCTTAGAATGAATAACATTCACTAAGTTTACAAACTTACCTGCCGTTGCTATATATTCTCCAGGTGACTTGTTTCCCCTTTTATTAAACACAAATAAACGGTACCTACTCGACCAGTGGCACTTCTTTACCCTGCTTTTGTTCGAGGAGATTCTATTCTGAGAGACATCGGGGGCTGAGGTCTCACTTTATTGAGCTCGTATGCATCCTGGAACTTTTTCTGGCAACCTGAGTTGCATCAGTCCCTTTCGCACGCTTTGTTTCCTGCTACAGCAGTAATTATTGTTTGGTCACATTCACTCTATGTTGTGCTATTTACCAATGCACATAAGCGCACTGACGCTGCCACTCCGTACGGTGACGAAATGTATGTAACCACTTAATCCAGCTCGGCGAACCAACCAACAGATGAACAACGGACCCGGGCTAACAGTGTCACAGATCAGTGCCGTTTAGCATCCGCTGTTGCCAGACCCAGGATGATTGCTCATACACTGGGGCTAGAATTGGATTACACTACCTCGACCGCAAACCAGCTGCTTAGTGTTGACCGTGAGGGGAACTAACATTGATATGAACACTGTTCACATTCCTTTGAACTAGTGGTTGAATGCACGTGACCCTACTACAGACTACTGCAAACAACTGAGGAGCGAATACAGAATGGCCAGTGCGAGCGTGTTAGTCACACAATGGTGCAAGATTACTGGGTACATCATACCAATAGTGGTGGCTGGGCAGTGGACTGTTTCAAGATGTAGTCAAATCTGTCCCATTGTCATCCTGGAATATCTAATCTGCTCTGTCTTATTAATATATCGGATTGGGATAAGGGGCACGTCGCAAGTTGAATGTTACGTCATTCCCAACGCAAACCTGCAGACCACCGCGAGAGAAGCTGCAGAACGCGAGGTACGAATCTAAAACTCCATTTTGAAGCATAATGTGGAACAATTGGGTCGATATATTGGGAAGTGAACACATGCGAGTCACTCAGTAGTATCCGTGTACACTTGGAAGCACACCATATTGTCTCGGATCTATATTGCAAGCATCCAAACGGTGTGTCAAACGGGAAAGCAATAGGTCAGATGTTAAGTTGAATGTATATACGATGCATATCCAATATTGCCTACCTGGAACGTAGTGACTAGCTGGCGATGGTCGGAGCTGTACACTGCGGGCAAACTGTGATTCCATAAACAAACGACACAGGCCCGTAACAATCCCACGTCCTTCAGTTTCGTTGCTGATTGTACACTTCTCCGAAAATTTTCCAACGCCGTTTCGGATATTTGGTATAACCAGTCGCTGTGTTGTTTGAATGGAAAGTTTGGCAAAGTGAACTTACAGAAGTTGGCATTGAAATGGATAAAGGACTAGATGAGCGGTGGATTGGTAATCCAGTGCAACGAGCACTAGCTTATTACATCCGCAAAAATAAAGTAGTCAGTATATCACATGCCGCTGCACAGAAACTCGGAGCGATATGTATAGTCCAGATTTTAGCCTATTCAAAACGAAACCTACACCATGTATGGCGGTGTTCCGGTGTTGCACTTCCCAACATTGGCACCATAATTATGTATAGATAAACAGAGAACCGACAGCCACGTTTACAATGGCTAGTTTCAGGTGCACAAATGTCGGTAAATTAATACGTTACTTCTCTACTCAAGAGTAGTCATCTACGATGGGCCCGTTGGGTGTAGCCACGACTAGTGCAAATCTCCTCAGTAGGGTCCAGGTACAATAGCGGCCGCCTTTTATTTTCCATCGGTTCAGCCTAGAAAATCTGGTCCTGTTGCCAAAACGCCATCAAAAGAAATGTATGTGAAGATTTTACGAGTATAGGTTTAATTGTAAGGGAAAGTTAAAAATAATAACTGCGATAAAGGCGTTAGCGTAAAAAATCAAAGAGTGATTAGATGGAAACGTCATTAGCTAGATTTGAAATATTTGACGCAAACACCAATGGCCCTGTGATTGCATGGCTCTGAAATATGTCTTTGATCACTTGGGTGCCCGATTCGCACGCCGCAATCAACAAGATAGCACATGCTGCTATCCGACAGACCATTACGAAACCGAATAATGATTAGACTAACTAGATATGGCATGTGTAGAAAATACCTGCAGAACTGCTTTGTTGACGAACTTTCAAATCGTATAAGGAGTCAAGGTCATCGGACAACCTAAAGTTGTTTCAACATGACGACTGCAAACACCAACTGTCAAAACCTTACAACAAATGCTCAAAGTTCCCCTAACCTGTTAGCAATGTTAGACACGCATCAGCGATCAATCTAGACCAAGTAAACTTGGTTTTTTGTCACAAACGGCCGCGTGCCGGGAGAATATAGTGGAACAGGCTGTATCACTGAGTTTCACCCTGTTGATTGGGCGAGTGAGATCCCATCCTTCCCATATATGGATGTGATGGTGAAAAACACTGCATGCCCTGCTGGGGTGACCTGAAAATCCGTAGATGTACAAAGCGTACGCGAAAATTGCGTACAGCGAAAATCGTACACGGAAAATGTAAACACGGAAAATTGAGTACCTGAAAAATTGTGAACATGGCAAATGTATACACGGAAAATTTCACCCTCAGAGAATGGCGCAAACGACATACAGCGAACACTGAAATACAGTAGTTCGATAGCTTTATACTTACACGACTTCCCAAAGTGTCAAATTCCCATGACTCATTCAGAATACTCAACAGACCGAACACTGCTCATCTACCGCAGTTTGCCGAAGTCTCAGCGATTCGGTAGCTCTAATGCACTTGGTGTGACCAGACGGAGTCCGCGGCTAACCTAGGATTGGCTTGATGAGGTTGGTGACCGCGTCCGATGGCCGATAGCCATATTCTCACATCGCTACTGGACATGAAACAACGTACACATGGCAAATTTCCTATCGCGAAAATCACTGCGGATGTACGCGGTTTGTTTCAGTACAATGTTGTACACTTAGACGACCGATGAAACACGTGGACTGTCAGTTCAACCCGTTCTAGTAACCCGAAAAACACACCCACGGTCGGATCCTTCGCACATCTGCGACAGGCGACGCGCTCCCCTAAACAGCACGGTTCCCCGATGTCACTATATAAGGGACACTTGTATGCTCAAAGCAGAAGCCTGTCTTCATGATTTGGTTCCTCAGAACTGATATTTGGGAGGGCCAACATAAAATGTTCACGAACTCCGTCGGGTCACACCAAGTGAGTTAGAGCCAGGGAATCGCCGAGACTTCGGCCAGCTGCGGTAGGTGAGCAATGTTCTGTCTGTTGAGTATTCTGAACGAGCCACGAGGGATTTGGCAGGTTGGGCAGTCGTTTAGCTATAAAGCGATCGAACTGGTGTATTTCCGTGTTCGCCGTATACCGCGTACACCATTCTCGGAGGGTGAAAATTTCCGTGTACACATTTTTCGCATACGCAATTTTCGGTGTACGTAATTTTCTGTGTGCACAATATTCCGTGTACACCTTTTTGGTGTACGCTTTACGCTGCACGTAAAGTTCGGGTACGCTTTCAGCATGGCAACCCTTGCCGGCACATGCAACATAAATGTTGGTTCAGCTGATGGGACAAAAGATCCTAGATGAATGTGCCGAACGCATAGTTGGATTGGCATTATGGTCACACAGAACAAAGGTACTGTGTCGGTTACTCATGTGTCAGTAGTTGCCACTACCAAGTTGTGAAGCAAATATCAGTCATTATTGTGTTTTCTGTTCATATGTGATCGTGTTCTGAATATTGATTTTCGTCACCTATATACATAAAAGATGGTCCACCGGTTTTTGAGGTTAGAGCAGCATTTGATCATTTCCACCAAATGTTGAACGTGAGGCGAACATTTACGGCAACCCTGAAAAATCGCTGCTGTGGTGGGAACTTAGGTTTCGTACAGCTTAGTACAGCTGTTTTGCCCTTGGAATTCGCGGAAGAAAGGCTTCAAAACAGAACAGAGTTCCCCGGGAAAACGTTTCATGAATAAGCAGTGAAAAAGCCGTTATGGTCACCTAGTTGGAAAATGGTCTACAAATCAGTGAAAACAACGCTGTCTCTTGCACGTGCAATGCAGTGGTAATTGAGGAAAAAAATATACCAAAGCAAAAGCCAGTTCAACTTGGCTAATTCTATTTCAAAGCTGCTAAATGAGGAGCCAAGATATTACTAAATAAGTTGCTTAAAACCAGTGGCAAATTAATTCCGAACATAAACGTCTTTCCGTTATCCATCACAGAACTCCAACGAAGATGAGGACGTTGTCTGACAACTGTTTGTATGGAGCTGTCGCTTTAGCTCCCTTATGATCTCGAATAAGATGTAAGACCAACAAACAGCGAGTCTCCCAGATACTTTGCCAACCACGGAGGCTGAACTTCTGCCCCCATGTGTTATTGACTTCGAGCCAGTAGATTGTATAGATCATTTGAACTTAAGTATTCTGCCAAACCTAAGAGACAAAGTTGGTCTGCGTAGCAGCTCCTCATAACGATTCACCCGACTGTATGTTCGATGGATATGCAGTGTCGATATTTGGTCGTCTCCGTAAGTCGCTTCTTTCCATGGGGCAAATGGCAAAGCGAGGCCTGATGAGGCTCTGAAATGAACTCTACCGTACCTAACAATAACGGGTTTCTTGCAGCCAGTCCACCGTTGATATTCAACAAACCTTGTTGGACCACACTCATTGGGGCCAGTCCGAGTAGAATAACGTCCAGACTGCTCCTGATGAAAATTATACTTTGGCTAACACGATCTTCAAGTTAAACGCTTGTGGTAGAAAACAGTGCTGGATATTTGAAGATGTTGGCCGGCACACAGTTGCAATAATCGATCACCATGGATCTTTCGACGCACATCGGCCCCAAAATGGTTTACTAAGTGCCGTACGGAGCAATGGAACAATGGATTTATGCGGGTATAAAAGCTAAAGCTTGACAAATCCCGTAGAGTGATCAGTGTGAAAATCATAGAAGTGTGAAAAATTCAATGGAAACCAATTCAGTAAAATCTTTTAACAACGAGTCACTACAAGCTTGTGGACTAACCGAGTTTGAAGTGTCAAAATAATAATCCACTATAACTCCACTATAACTATAACTCCACTATAACTCCACTATAACTCATGAGGTATGGAGTATTTGGTTAAAAGAGTCACCGCCCCTTGAAATTCGCATGGGGCAAAGTGTTTGAGTTTGAAGCGTCAAAATATAAATCCACTGTTGAAATTTGCGTGGGGGAAAATTATTTTTAAAGTATGGATTTTGGATCTGTCAAAATTAGACTGTACTGTGGGAAATAGTGCAATGAAGTGAGTGCACTATCAACTCGATTTTTGAACTCGATCAGGTTGGGTGCACTGACTACAGATTCTGGCAGAGCATTCCAGGCTTGGCAAACACGCACGGAAAGGAAATTCCGTCGACATTCCAAACGGCTGTACTGCACTGCCAGCTTCAGATGATGGCCTCTCAGATGGTTGTTGTTACTGAGCTCCAGCAGATGGCGGCAGGTATGATTGGGGTCTGTCAGAATCTGATAAGCCAAAATCAAATCTCCCCGTAGTCGTCGATATTGACCACTAAATATCCCGAGCAATCGCAGTCTATCTTCGTAGCGTAGCTGGCCTAAACCTTTCACGTTCTTCGTTGCGCGTCGTTGAGGATTCTCTAAATCAGAGAGGTCTTTCCTCAGCCACGGCTGCCAGACTTGTATTGCGTACTCCACATGTGGTCGTATGTACGCACCTAGAAGTTGGTGAAAAACGGATGGATCGAAGAGTCCAAATGTGCGTCGGAGAAGGCCCAAATTTCAAATGCTCGCGTTCGATGCTTTCTTTGCCTGGGCTGAACAACCAAGGTCGGACTGAATCAAGACTCCTAAATCCTTTTCCTCAGCATTTGTGTTAAGCACATGGTCACCCAGTTTATAGAAAAATGCTGATTGGTGACGTAAGTGTAATACTCTGCACTTTTCTGCGTTGAGTGGGAGTTGGTTCTGAACTGACCACGCATACACCTTAACCAGATCCTCTTGAAGTATTGCGGAGTCGTCTGGTGTATTGATCGCTCTCCAGACGTTGATGTCGTCGGCATAGAGTAGGCAGTTGGAAAGAATGAGGGCCGCTTTGTCGTCAATATACATCAAAAACAATCGTGGCCCCAGTACCGATCCTTGTGGTACACCACATTCGACTTGGATTGGGTGGGACACGGACCCACGCACTTTTACCTCTAAGCTCCGGTGGAGAAGAAAGCTTGTGATCCATCCTAGGAGCGGATCACCAATGCTGAAGCTCTGAAGTTTGCAGATCAGGATTCCATGGTCTAATCGATCGAAGGCCTTTGAGAAATCTAGGTAGACCACGTCCACTCCTGCACCGCTGTCAATTAATTTGGTCCAACTGGATCTTGCTAGCAGCAGATTTGTGGTGCACGATCGATTCCGTCGAAAACCAGGCTGTTCATGTGCAAGGAAGGCAGACTCTTCTAGCTAGACTGTTAATACGTCAGCAACAATAGCTTCCATAACCTTTGACAGGACCGGGAGAAGGGTTACAGGACGGTAGTTGGCTGCAGTATTAGAGATGATCCACTTGGGGATTCATATCACCAGTAACAATCACGTTGTCAATATTTCTTTACATTAGCAGATATGAAAAAAGTTCTTCGTTGACATCTTCCCAGCTGCAGTCAGTAGGGGGCGTAAACAGAGATGATGAAAGGGACCTCGTCTTCAGACGGTGTTTATTAACCCAAACAGGGAATCAAAGTAGATACGTACGTATGCGATTGTTTACTGGTAAATTGCCTAAGGCATGTTTGTAGAAGGCGATACCGACATTGTATACCGTGCGTTATGGACTCAGTACCGCCAGAGGGGCGAAGAAGGTATTCGTTGTTGCCAGATTCAGAACTAGAGAGGAGAAGAGTTCTAATAAGTAGTGCGGATTTTGAGGTAATTCAGTGGTAATTCATCAAAGTCCACTATCAGTCAGCAGGCTTTGGCAAGTCTGGACAAGCGCCAGACAGCGCTGTTTCTCGTCAGTGATGCGCCTTCTATCGGATCCCTGCCGCGTTCCGACCCCATGACTTCCGGATGCCAGCAGCTTGTGCCACTAAGCCATGGGTGACTGTCGCGGACCTCCATGATTGTCAGTTGCTTATGATATTTCCCGGCTCATCTTCCACTGTCATGTCAGTGACGAACTGTGCAGAGGACAGCAATTAGCCTCACAAGCCATGCGGAAAGTCTTAGCTCGTGGGACTAACTGCCGTCTGCTGCACAATTTGTAACTGGCGTGGTGGCGCAAGATGAGCTCGTTAAACGATTCAGAAGGGAGGAAACGGCCGGCGGATGCTTGATTGGTTGGGGGTAGGACTAATCTCCTTCGAAAACTTAGTGAAAGTATTTTCGTCATCCGACCGCACAGCCTTTTCGGCTTACACTTGCTCTGAATGCTTTTGGTTCTCAGAAGATTAACGGTGAAAGAGCTTGATAAAGGA